AAGAAAGAAAGAAAGAAAGAAAGAAAGAAAGAGAGAAAATAATCGTTGGTAAACGAGCGTCCAAGCCCGCCACTGAAATATAATGGCTTAAATCTCTAAATCTTGTAAAGTTCCCAATGACTTTATAGATATTTCCAGTTTACGAAAATTCACGATAGTCAAATAATTTAGAACGTTACAGGTCCATTTTAAATGGTTGAATGATAGCGAAGATCGATGCAATCTTTAGTCTCGTTAATTTATTATAATGATTTCCAGAAAAAAAGAAAGGAGGCTCTTTCAAGCACGAGCATATTACTTGGCATATAATTAACAAATATATCTTTGCTAACAACTTCCATTTATGATACGCGTATTACGCCGTAAGACAGCTTTTATTAAAGTATATTCTTACCATTATTTGCCACTAGTCCTGAGTATCGATAGCTTGAGTTGGTACTATTCATCGTGGATTGGCCGATTCGTTTTCGACAATTGGATCTCTGTTGTCTTTATACCTTTCCTATATTTACCTAAAGAGTAAAAAATAGTTTATTTTAAGTCATGACCATCATGATCTGATTCCGGTAAATAAAAAAACAGCCTTTAGATCTGATAGGCTGATTTAGATGAAAAAGCACCACACATTGAAGTGATCAGTCGCAACCGCTAAATCGAAAGCCCTTGTTGATAATGTGGCGATAGCAAATGAATCATTCCATTGACAGAATATTTATAATACAAACTCCAAAATACATTCTAGAATGGACTATATTTGCAGTTAGTGTGTAACAAGTCGGCTAGGAAGATGATTTACACAAAAAACTAATTGTCAAACAGCTATAATTACATGTCGGCTTTTTTTTGAAGCATAATTTTCTTCCCTCCGAAAAAGATAATCTTAAAATGATAGAAAATTAAGATCAATTTTTAACATAGTACTTTACTGATAGTCTTTCCTTGATTATTCGGTTGTCTTTTGGAGAATATTTTCTGCTACATCTTTTCAAAAGGGATTTACTAAAATTGATGTATTGATTGACTCATAACTTTTTTTCGATTGGTAAAAGTTTACCCAAAACAAAACCAGTTTGCTGGTTTTTTTTTTGTTTTTTGTTTTTGTTTTTTTTTGGATATTATTAAATGTATGCTTCGGAAATGATTTGAAATCTTTTACGCTTCATTAAATAACTTTGTCTACAAGGCAATGAAAAACAAAACTTGAAATATATCGATCTCAGAATCTTTCTTACTGGGATTTTCGTAAACATGCGATCTCTGTGTTTCCGAGTTTGCACGCTGAAATTTGGTTTTTCGCTGCCGCAAGTAAAAAATATGAAAGGTACCGACTGATTAGGTTTGATTAAAGGCAGCGAAAGTCGAACTCGGAGACACAGAGTTTGCATGTTTATGAAAATTGCAGTAATGTAACTATATAATAAATAAAAAAATCAGTAATACAATCAATATTGGAGGCTGGTGTGTTTTGGCGTATTAGAGTAGTTATATTAACTAATATTAGTATTGTAGTGGATATATATATAGAAGTATTAGTGGCAGTGGCAGTGGCAGTGGCAGTGGCAGTGGCAGTGGCAGTGGCAGAGNGAAAGTAGTAGCCAAAGGAATGTCTAAAGCAGAAATGATACTCAAGGTACTGTGATAGATCCAAAGATGGTGGTGATGATGATGGTAGGTGGTAGTGGTAGTGGTAGCGACGTTGATGGTAGTGATGATGATGATGATAGTGGTGGTAGTGGTAGTGGTAGTGGTAGTGGTGGTAACAGTAGTGGTGGTGGTAGTAGTAGTAGTGGTGGTAATGGTTGTAATCGTGGTGGTGGTAGTGATTACTGATAGTAGTAATTGAACAAGAATATGTATTAATTATTGGGTCAAATTCTAAGATCTAAAAGGGAAATAAAACTACAATATATTATCATGTTATATCGCAACAAAGTTTCTTAATTCCCTCATGGCACTGAATGCGCACAATGTTAAATATATAATCATCTATGAATTATATATATTTTCTCTATTACTTCAATTCAAAGGGATATCTTTAAATGTATAAATAACACTATTGGTAAGAATTCTTTGGAATGGCATTAAATAGTAAAAATTGTAGTTCATAAAGAAGCTGCAATGGTATTTATTTCATTGGAAATACGGATTTTACCTTCTGGTGTTGAGAATTTGTTCCTCGTTCGTAGCGCTAACTCATAAATATTATATCAAAACTCGAAGATAAAATCCGTATTTTCGCGCGGCCATATATTATCCTGTATGTTAGTTTTACCTGGTTTTGGCTTTTACAAGTATCTTGTGTTATATATCGAACAGATATTCAGTATACAGAATTTATTCGCAACTAGACTTCCTTTTATAATTAAACAGGTACTCGCGGACACTTCTAATATCTGAATACACCTTGGTAATAATATGACAACTTAAGACTATTCAATAGACTCCCACATCTCCCGACACTGATTGCATTCACAGTTATATGTTTTCGTCTGTGTTTCTCAAAAATGGAATATACAGTGGAACCTCTCCTCACGGACACCTCTATATTACGGACACCTTTATAATAAGGACAGATGTTTAGGTCTTGGCAAAATCGCCATACATTTTTTGTTTTATAGACTCCTGACCTCTATATTATGGACACCTTTATATTACCAACACTTTTTCTGGGCTATTAGTTTACGTATTATTGAGGTTCCACTGCATATCAATGTTTATGCCTTTTTAATATGAACACTTCCATTAACTAGACAACTATAAGAAAGTAACTATATGCATGGCCTTCTATATTTATGTACGCATGTGGGCAAATACCGACATAGCATTTATTACTCAGTTCACGGTTATACAATTCCTTAATCGGCGCAGCTTGTAAATTTAAACTTTTATAGCCTGTTTTTACAACTTCCGACGTATTTGTTATAAACAAGTATCAATAAACATGGAATGATGAGTCTCAATGCTTGCATTATAAGTAGCTAATTACCGTAACGACAGGAATGGCGGGCCGCCTGTCTCCTGAAACATTTGGAGCGTCTAATTAAAAAACATCTGAATAACAGCTGTTTTATAAGTCGCAAAATTTCTCAGTCTACTGACGGTCTTCCTATTTTTTCCTCTATACCTCCCCCTTCTGATTCGATTTAGATTTGAATTTAAGATTGATTATCTTTGCCGCGATGAGATGATCGTCATCGTAGCCACCCAATTACAGCGTAGGCTGAGTAGAATGGACCAGAAACAAAGAGCTATTTTTTGCGGAAGTATAAGAAAACCAGATTAATATGGAAAAAAAAAAACAACAAAAAAACAAAAACAAAATTGGTTTAGCCATTATCTTTAGAGCAAAAAAATCACACATATGCTAGTTATACTGACCATTGGAACAATTAACTATTTGAATATCGGCTAAATCAGTTGTTGTTGCAATCCACCTTTTCTTACTAAAAGACGGCTAATTTGCATACAAAGCACGTGGTATAAATGGTGAAAGATCGGATTTGTAAAGATCGGATTGTCTCTTTATTAAAATGGTGAAATATTGCTCTCACGTTCTGTGTAAAAGCGATTCGAGAAAGCCAAATGCACGCACAATGACGAATCGTTATGGAGAAAGATTGTTCTTTGTCCGTTTCCCAGGTAAAAAGAGAAACGCTACGAGGGCAAAAGCATGGATTCATGCATGCAGATTATAGCAATTACAAACCCGTTGGTAATATATTTATATAATATTCTTTTAATAACTAATCCAGTGTTTACGAGGACGATAATGTCATCTTACCACGTTTATTAGTTTTAATTAAGAAGAAGAAGAAGAAGAAGGAGAAGAAGAAGAAGATGAAGAAAGAAAAGAAAAAAAAAAAAAAAAAAAAAAAAAAANAAAAAAAAAAAAAAAAAAAAAAAAAAAAAAAAAAACACCAAAGAAACAAAGACAATTTGCAATTGAGAGTCGCATGGATATCCTCTTTAATGTAATAATTTATATCATTGGGAAGTCAAACCTTAAACTGTAAAATTGGCTCTCGTTTTCTTAACATTGTTTTTTCCAAGCCTTTTGAATCAAAATTTTAACATAATTTATAGTATCACTTTAACCTGAAAGAGCATCCAAGAGTGATTGAGCAGAAAACATTTGCATAAAAATTGGCATCTTTTTCCTTGTAGGTCATTAGGTAATAAATCTAATCTATGTGATATTAATATCAGATTTGATTCACCACTACTGACTAGGTTCACTTATATTTACACGACCTTACACTACAATAGCTTGTAATATAAGTCATTTTAATTAGGGATTTGAGTTATTTCATGGCAGCTTTCCATTTCTCTATTCAATTTTTCGTTCCTTTGTATTGTTTGTTTATTCAAGATTTACTCCTTCTTTATTCAATTCGCTAATTGGTCGAGTGAATGATTAGTTAATTAATTAGTTGATTATTATTAATCTATTACTTCTTATTTTTCCTTATTTCCTTCGACAAGTTTAGTTTTGACAAATTGCTGTTAAATTTCGTTTTGATAAAAGCTCTCTAGCTGCATTGATCCAAATATTTTTATCCTGATAATAGTGGAAGCACCATCACATCCTTGAGTCTTCTCCTCTATGATAATATCAATGTTTCAAGTGACATTTCTCAATAATGCTGACAACTTTGATAGAACAGTGAAAATATATAGAAGCCTTGATTAAATCCTATTATAAATTAGTTAATTAAATCCTAAATATCAATGCTTCAAGTGACATTTCTCAATAAGGATGCAATGTTGATAGAACAGTAAAAATATATGAAAGCCTTGATTAAATCCTTGAATAGGACAATACAAGAGCATTATCTTTTCTTATGTGTCAAAACCATATCCTCCATGGTTTGCAGAACGCAACCAAAATTAGCCTGCGATAATGCGATTTTACAGCGGTAATAGTGTGGGCGGGTTTAAATCCTTAAATGCTCCCTTATCTTGAGTCAATTTTAATTTTTCTTTTCCTCATCCGTTGCTCAATTGATATATTCTTTTATCATAGGGTCGGTGGGTCGGTGGGTCGGTGGGTCGTTGGGTTGGTGGGTTGGTGGATCGGTGGATCGATGGGTCGAGTAGGGATTGTGTTTGACTGGCTTCCGTCTT